TCTTCTGGGTCACTAGTGGGCTCCTCCAGGGCAGCCCAGCGAGTGGCACGCTTTTCGCTATAGGGGCTGACCCCTTCCTTCGGATGTTTAGGGCTTTGCTGGAGTCTCGAGGAAAAGGTTTTGCGAGGGCCTGTGCAGATGACATAGGATCGATTTTATTCCAGCTGGAGGATGTGGTGGTACTGGCCTCTGTCTTCCGCGTGGCGGAGTCGCTTGCGCACTTCACTTTGAAGGTGCAGAAGTGCAAGCTCGTCCCGCTCGCTGAGACATATTCGGATATATTAGCTCGACGATATCATCGGTTCCTATCGGCCTTAGTCCCAAGCTGGTCTGATTTCGAGATTTGCCCCATGGCGCTCTACCTCGGCCTCTGGTTGGGCCCAGCGGCTGCCCCATGGACCTCGCGGAGCCCCCCCTGGACCAAATACATCCAGCGAGCCCGTGCCCTGTCGGAGGTGGGGGCCCCGTCGGAGCTCGCGGCATCCATGTGCGCGCGGCGTGTGCTCATGGTCCTCTCGTATGTTGGCCAGTGCCAGCTTCTCCTGCCATAGGCGAGGAGAAAGGAGGCGGCGACCCTGGCTAGTGTTTTCAAGCTCCCCTGTTTTCGCGCGGACGAGCAGGGCTGGCCGAATCTCGAGAAGTGGGGCGGCCCGCGTACCAGGAGCGTGTGGTGTGCCAATGTGGCACAGCGGGTGCGGGCTAGTCTACGCACATTCCCAGATTGGCGCCCTCTTCTTGACAACCTGAGGTCGTGCGCGGAGAGCTCCCTCCCGATCGTCACAATGCTCAGTGGTCACCGTTGGCCTGACTTCTGGCGCCAGCAGTTGTGGCCCGAGCCTCTGCCCCCCCCCCCCCCCCCCCGCGATGGTCAGCGCCCTCGAGGCCGTATCCCAAGGGTTCCCATCGTCAGGTCATATCCGAGCTATGCGCGTTCCTGCCATTCAACAGCTTCAACCTATTCAACTTCAACATATACAACGTCATCTTCCTCTCCACCTCCTTCATCCTCAGCGTCGCCTATCTCATCTCCTTCATTCTCAACTCTTTCCCGACAGGCTCCAAGAACTCTTTCTCCGTCGGCTCAGGTCCTGGTTCCCGCGCAGTTCCCGCACTATCGCCCTTATCCCCATGGCCTGAAGCGCGCTCCCCCCTCCTCCCCCCCCCCCCCCCCCCCCCCCTCCTGGAGAGCCGCCGTCGTGCGAGCCCTGGTGGGCGGGTGGATCGCGTCCTCGAACTTTCAAGAGCAGGAGCCGTGCCCGCGTTGCCAGCATCCTCCCCACTCGTTCCGCCATCTTTGGTCTTGCCGTGTCTTCCTCACCCGACTCGCGCGCACTGCGCGCGTTCTCCAGCTCCCGCCATGTCCGATTGCCCGTCTTGGACTCATCCAGCCATCTCGCGTTGCTTTCAGAGCTGTCGTGCATGCGGTTCACCTTCACAATGAGATTAGGACTCCACCCACCTCGCTCAGTGCGAGGTCGAGCGGAGCCATCATAAGGCTGGTCCGCCACCAGGTTGCGCGTCCAGCGACCTGATGGACCAGGCCCGCGGCTACGCTCGAGGAGGAGGAGGAAGAGAGAAGAAGGAGGGAGGCGAGCTCTGCCTCGCTGCCCTCGGCGCGGCGGAGGCCCCCCGAGGAGGAGCAGAGGCCCGCCCGCGCGTCGGGCGAGCGGTCCTGCCGCCCCGGGCACGCGCCTCCCATCTCGTGGCCGCCGCGGCCTCGGCATCGCTGCCGCAGCGGAGGCAGCATGCCCGGCCGGGCCCTGGCGCGAGGGAGTCGGGGGCGGCAAAGAGGGGGGTGATGACTAGGGGCGGGTGGATATCATGGCGTGGGCCATGCTATTTCCCCAGATTTCGTGGCGCCTCTTCTTATCACATTGCGCCCCTGGTCCCCCCCTTGGGCCGCGCGCGCGCCGCAGGCCACGACATGCGCCCCTCCCACTTGGACGCCCCCCTCTTGGCCGCCCCCGAGAGTGTCAGGGGCAACGATAGGGGGGGATAGGCATAGGGGGGGATGCACCGACCCCCAATCGCCCATTGATCGCCGACAGAGGCCCGATAGCCCCAGCTTGCCCAGGGAGGTGCGGATTCACAATCGGGGGCCCATCGCCGATCTATCGGCGATGTATCGCCGATTCCAGATCGACGCATCCCCCCCCCCTATGCCTACCCCCCCTATCGTTGCACCTCAGAGTGGCCTGCGAAGGAGGCGGCGAGAATGGCCTCTGCGCTGGCGGGCTCGTCGCCGTCGTGCCTGCGCGGCCCTGCAGCTTGCGGCGCCGCGCGGCCGGCGGGGGCGGGGCCGGCTGGGGCGGAGGCAGGGCGAGCCCGAGCCCCGCGGCGGACCGCGCTCCAGATGCGCCGGCCGTGGCGCTAGCGCACTGGCGTCAAGTCGGGCACGTCCCTCTACAGGAGGAATGTTCAAAACATGCGAAAATCGCCTTGGGACGACTCTTTTTTTATGTTTGCTATCTTTTGTCATTTTTGAAGATTTGTTGACTCTTTGTTATTTTTCGTCCCAAATCCCCCTGTAGGGGGACGTGCCCGACCTAACATTGGCGCAGCAGCCAGGGCTGCTGCCTGGGCAGCGGCCCGCACCCGTTGCGCCGCTTCCAATCAAGCAGTGGCGAAGCGTCCTGGTTCGCATATAGGACTTCCAAAGAACGTTATAAGAACCTTTAGTGGTTTGCGCGGAATGTTCTTGGAACAGTTCTGGTTGAGGCTGTCTTGTTTTAACACATCGGGTTCATGATCTAATAATTGTTCTTAGAACGCTTTTGGGGTTCTGAAGCAATTTCGTGGTAGGCCAAAAGGAATGCCGGGACGGTCGGTCCCTGCTCAATCCAACTCGGGGGCCCCCAAACGGGGCGGTGACCACACCGTGCGGTGAGTCGGTGGGGATTCGGGGTCACCGCACGGTTTTTGGGACTCGGGTCCCTCTCCGAGGACGTCTCAGGCGACAGGCTCCTCCGGGGTCCCAGGACCGTGCGGTGACGGACCGTGTGGTGAGGTCTTGGGGCATTTCGAGGCCACCGCACGGTCCGTCACCGCACCGTTTCGGGACTCCAAACCAACACTTCGAGCACGACCTCCGGCGGGCGAGAAAGACCTTGCGCGGCGGGGCCCGCTGCGCAGCCGCGGCGCCAGCGTTGCCGTCGGCCGCGGCGTTGCCGAGAGGCGGTCCCGGTCGCTCACCCCGAAGCGCAGCCAGCGCCTGCGCCGGTGTCCTGTGCGCTGGCACCCAGCGGGCCCGCAGCCCTAGGTCAGGTCGGGCATGTCCCCCTACAGGCGGATTGTGGGACAAAAAATTCGAAATCACCTAAACATATTCAACGCGTATTCAAAATTCCAAGCACACCAAAGAATCCCCAGACTTTTATATATAAGAATCAATAAATGTAGAATATTCCCCCTGCAGGGGAACACGCCCGACTTAACCCCAGGCGCCGCGCCTCCGCCGGGGTCTTGTGTGCTGGCGCCCAGCGGGCCCGTAGCCGCCCGCTCCGCACGGCACCTGCGATCGGCTGCCACAGGTCGGCGTGCTCCCAGGCCCGCGGGTCGGCGCCGGCCTCCCGCTGCGCGAGCACGCCCGCACCGCACGACGCACTGGCCGTCCGAGGCGAGGGTCGCACCCAAGATCGGAGTGCTGGGCACGAGGGGCCGAGCTGGAGGGGCCATGCCTCCAAGGGCAGCCGTGTGCAAAGTTTGCAGGGCGGCACCATGGGACTTGAAAGGTTTTTTGGGGGGGCAACCTTTCGAGACAGAAGCCTTTTTCCCCTTCAGTCCAGAGTTTCTGCCGTAACGTGTTCGTCGTCGAAGACACCGCTGCCGCTGACGCACCGGCGCTTTCTGAGCCAAGTACTCGTGTGTTTGTTCTGCCGTTTTTCATCCAAGCATGCAAATTCGCACCACTGCCTGAATTAATTATTTGTTGCCTCCTCCTCTTCCTCCTCTTCCTGGGCAACTGAATACATTGATGTCCGCGTTTTTTTTTTTTTTCGACCGCACAGACGGTCGATGCACTGCCAGGCTGGCTCATTCTTCGATCCGCATTTTCCAACCGACGGCCAGACGATTACCGTGCCGACGCATCCTGCAGGATGCATGGCTTTGGTGGTGGTGGTGGTGGTGGTGGTGGCTCTTCCCTGTCGCACGACCAGTGTCGTCATGGCGGGCCACCGCCTACGACCTTGGGGCTGGAAGTCCCCAACACAGTTACACAGATGGAGCATTGAGGCGGAGAAAAAGAAGGGTGAGACATATCAGGGGAAGGCGGGAGGAGTGAGAAGTGACGCAGAGACGTCAGGGGATTATGCCTCGATGCGGGATGCATTGAGGTGTCAGCGGCTACGCACACAGGCGGCGAGGCGAGCGAACGCGGCATGCACAATCATGACCATGGGGAGCATGCGCAAGCAACGTTGCAATAATGTTGATCTCTCCATTGGGGTTAAAGATGAGCTCATCGTTCGCGGCAATAGTGTCTCTCTCTCTCTCTCTCTTTCCCTGTCTCCATCTATATATATATATATATATATCTTCCTCGCCTAATTACTTCCCTCCCCGCTCATCGTTTATAACCACCCTGTCCTCATCCGCATCCTCCCTCATCCTCCTCCTCACCCCTCATCCTTCCCCTCCCCCCTCCTCCCGCATACTCCCTATTTCATCGCCCCTGATTCATCCTACCTACTCCTGTCCTTCCATTCTTGTTGATCGTCCCTCCTCCGACGCCTCCATCCCCACTCCGCTCTCATCCGTCCAATCCCCTCGGTTCCCTCCACGCTCCTCTCTTCCTTCAGCCTCCTCTCCTCCCTCCTCATGTTCCGCCGTCCTCCCCGTGCTCCCCCCCCCTCCCCCCTTCCTCTCTCCTCGCTCCTCTTTCTCCTTGTCGTCGCCTCCCCTCCTCCTTTCCTCCGCCATCCGCCTCCGCCCCCCGTCCGCATCCTCCCCCTCTTCCCCCCCCCCCCCTCCCCCTCCTCCTCCGGCCCGCGCGGGCCGAGGCCGAGGAGGCCGAACCGCACGGGCTCGACGACGCAGAGCTGGAGAGGCAGCCGGCCGGAGATGCGGACGTCCACGGCGGGTGTCGGCGGTCGGCGGGTGGGCCATCTTCGAAGTGCAACGTGGGGGGGGGGCGATGGGCTCCAGGGGGGGGGATGCATCTCGACCCCCACTCGCCCATGGATCGCCGAGGGGGGCCGAGAGCCCACCCCCCCGCCGAGCACAACGTGCGGATCCGCTCCATCGGGGCCTGCAGTCGGCCCGGATTAGTAGGCGGTCCCTGCCAAATCAAGGGTGCCCTTGTGTCCTGTGTCTCGCGACACGTGCCTTCTTACACTCCTGTGGCAACGTGGCCCTCGGAAGGGTCCTGTGTCCTCTCGCGTGTCCTGTCCAATCGAGTCAGACTGTATTGCCAATCTATCGGCGAAGTGTCGTCGATTCTGACTCGACGTCCCTCCCCCGCCCGAGCAAGCTTTCAGACTGTCGGCGCCACTGTCAAGCAGTGGCGAAGCGTCCTGGCTTGCTTATAGCCCTACCAAACCATGTTCTAAGAACCTTTTGTGGTTTCCACGAAATTTTCGTTGAACATTTCTGGCGGAGCCTGTCTTGTGTTTAACACATCGGGTTGATGTTCTAAGACCATCGTATTTGTCCTGAGAACACTTCTGGATTCTAAGAACATTTCGTGGTATGACTAGAAGAATGCCGGGACGGTCGCTCCCTGCTCAACGCTGGCACGCGCGGACCCCCTGTGGCCGTGGGCGGGCATGCGGCCGTGTCCGCGGGGGGCAGCGGCCCCCCGGGGGGGCCGCCTCGGAGGCCCGTCGCGGCAGGCTGCCGCCGTGGCCGTGTGCTGGGGAGGCGCAGGAGGAAGCTATTGGCCTGGCAGAGCGACGTTCTGCCTCGGAGGGGAGGGGCGCGCGGCAGCGACGGTCGGGCCAGACGAGGGGGGGGGATTGGGAAAGGGGGGACTACGAAATCTGCTGCATGCAGCTGGTTTCGGCCCCGCCGCCGGGCCCGTTCCTCGATACGTGGGCGCCTCCCGGCGCCGGGAGGCGATTCTCCCCCCCCCACCCTTTGCTATCCCCCCCTTTCGCCCGGCCCGAGAAATGGGTGCGGAAAGAATGGGTACAAAGACCAGCAGCAGCGCCCGTTCATTTTGAGCAGGACTCGCTGTCGGTGTCGCCGCGGCCTGTGTCCATCTGAGACAAAAGGCCGCCTGCACGACAGTGGCGGTTGTTAGTTTGGAAAGAGCGTGTTCTACCGCTGCTGGCGGAAAACCGGGGGGGGTCACTACCGGTTCGAACCCCTCCCCCCCCCCCCCCCCCCTCCAGAAAACCGGGGGGGGTCACTACCGGTTCGAACCCCTCCCCCCCCCCCCCCCTGCTCATCATGAAAAGGGGGGGGGGTCACTACCGGTTCGAACCCCCCCCCCCCCCTCCGGATCCGGAAAACCTCACCGGTTCACACCCCCTCCCCCCCCTCGAAAACCGAGTGGGGGTGCGGACAGTGGTGGGGACGGTGTTGGTGGGGACAGTGGTGAGGGGACAGCGGGACAGTGGTGTGGGACAGTGGGACAGTGGTGGGGACGGTAGTGGTGGGGACAGTGGTGGGGACAATGGTGGGAACAGGGGGGGACAGTGGACAGTGGTGGTGACGGTGGTGGTGGGGACAGTGGTGTGGGGACAATGGGAATGAGGTGGAAACAGTGGGACAGTGGAGGGTACAATGGTGGTGGGGACAGTGGTGAAGGCGGTGGCGAGGACGGCGGTGGGACAATGGGACAGAGGTACAGTGGGGACAGTGGTGGGGACAGTGGGGACAGTGGTGGGAACAGTGGGACAGCTCAGTGGGACAGCGGAGGAGTCAGTGGGACAGTGGGGACAGTGGGGATAGTCGGGCAGTGGTTGGGGCCGTGGAGACAGTGGGGAGAGTGGAACCGTGGTGGGAACAGTTCTGGGGACAGCGGGGACAGTGCGACAGTGGTGGGGCCACTGGTGGGGACAGTAGGGGCGGTGGTGGAACCAGTGGGGACAGCGGTGGTGAGGACAGTGGTGCTGGGAACACCAGTGGGGGATGTGATGCGGACGGTGGTGGGGACCGGGAGTCGTTTGCTGGCGGTGAGTAGGGGGGGGGGGGGGGGGGGGGGGGGGGGGGGGGGGGGGGGGGGGGGGGGGGGGGGGGGGGGGGGGGGGGTTCGAACCGGTAGTGACCCCCCCCCGGTTTCCGATCGGACGGGGGGGGGGGTGGGGGGGGGGGGGGTGGGGAGGGGTTTCGAACGGTAGTGGTTTTCGAGGGGTGGGGGGGGGGGCGGGGGAGGGGGGGGGGAGGGGTGGGGGGGGGAGGGGGGGGGGGTTTAGGGGAGGGGGGGGGTTGGGGAGGGGGGGGGGGGAGGGGTTCCAGCAGGGGGGGGGGGGGATTTTCGGAGGGGGGGGGGGGCGACCCCCGGGGTTCCGGAGGAAAAGGTTGGCAATTTTCCACAGTAAAGCGGCGGTGGATCACGCTCTCTCTTAGTTTGGGACAACATTTGGGATCTTTGAAGCGTCTCGTGCGCTCTGGAGGGGTCAGTGGGGTGAGGTGCAGGAAGTGGGAGCAGGAGAAGGGATGAGGGGAATAGGAGAAGGATGAGCGGAGCAGAAGCAGGAAGAGGTTTGAGCTCAGATGAGGGAAGGGGCAGATGACGCAGAGTAGGAGGAATAGGGAACGAGGTTGAGAGAGGGGATGGGGAGGAAGAGGAGGGGGGTATGAAGAACGTCGTTTTGACAGGTGAACTTGGCAAAGGTTCTCCTCGAAAATGGCTCGCCCTTTGGCTAGCCGGACTGGGAACCCGCACGGCTTGCGAGGGATAGACGCGTCACGGATCATGGGGAGGATCAGAAGAGAAGCTACAGGGCTCTCGAAGCCCGGTCCGGCTGAAGGCTCTCGTAACCCGATATGTGGTCCTTTTGGAACCAAGTGGCTTTTCATTCACAGCCGGTAAACAGTATGAATAAACCCCTGCGCAAGTGCGGCCGATGCATACATCATCTAGATCTCTGGTTGTTGATGGTTTCTTGTGTTGTGAGGCCAGCTCTAATGCAGCCGCTGGTTTGTTGTGTTGGGTTTGAGGCCAGATTGCTCATTCGGTGGGACCTTCCTCTTCTTCTCCAGTTGCACGGATCGGTTATTCGAGGATCATGTGTTCAGGGACTTGGGATCTGGATTTTTTTGCGAGGATACAGATGTGGATCTTGGTCGAGCACCTTCTGGATGGACCCCTTCTTGCGCAGAGCCGCCATCAGTGAGATACGGACAAGATCACGGCTCAGCGGAGCCGTCGAAATTCTAGAGCTCAAGGCGGGGGGCATACAGTGGAGACCCATGCTAAGAAACACCCTGCTTGGCTCCAGGGTGCCCTGCGTTTCTTGGGCATCGACTGCTTTCTTATGGGAAGCGTGACGTTCCCATATCAAGAATCAATGGACGTCCCGGGGTCTCAGGCTTGGGTTTCTTGCGGAAGGTTTCTTGTGGACTGGCCTCCGCTGTGCAGCCAAGGCGTCGAGATGAGGACCATTTCAGGTCCAGGAGGCAGGGGAAAACATGCGAACCCTACCCCTACCCCCCTCAGAAATCGTGGGGGGTAGGGGTAGGGTTCGCATGTGGCCCCCTACCAGGGGATCTGGTTTTCGGGTCGTTCCTCGCATCTGGCTCGGGTGACGCTCCGTGGTCGAGGCTGGCCGTGACCAGAAAGGCCCCCCTCGCTCCCTCGTTCGGCGCGCCTCCTGGAAGCACGATGGCTTTACACATTGCCCATGTTTATTTCTTCGACAATTCCTTGATTTTTTTGGGGGCCAAGATCCTTTCATTTCTAAGTGTTCTATCCTGGGCCTCTTCCTGGCCACTGGGGGGCCAGGAAGAATTAGAAATAAGCACACATAGAAATGAACACGATTAGAAATGGACGACGGGTACGTGAGTTTATGGCCTTCCGGGGCGGGCGTGGTGCTTTGTTTCCAGGCTCGCTCGGTCTGGCATGAGATCCAGGGCATCTTTGATCCACAGCCAGCACCATTCTTGGCAGCAGCTTCCGAGGATCGCCAGAAATAATGACCAGGAAGCGCAGTTCCTCCCGGTTCACCTCTTTCTTTTTTGTTGCTCTTACATGCGTGCGTCATTCAAGGTGGCGGGGGTTCAGGGCGACACACTGGGGTGCATCAGGATTTCCCATGGAAGCGTTCCATGCGAGACTCATCTCTCCCAAAATTAAAAGCTGTATTCCAGACTGCAGTTTCTATTGTCCGTTGGGAGGCGGCGAGATCCTACGATAGGGAGGGGCCTTCTCCTCCTCCTCCTCCTCCTCCTCCTCCTCCTCCTCCTCCTCCTCCTCCTCCTCCTCCTCCTCTCCTGGAGGTTTCCGGAGGTCCCCAGGGTTCTGTGGAGGCGCCCGCGAGTCTTTGCCTGCAGATGTGCACAAAGCAATTCTCACAAACCTGGGACCTCGATCCTCGATCTCCGCTCGTCGATCTCGACGACGACCCGCTTCCCTGCCTCCTGGGAGGAGGGCCATGCAGTCGAATCTCGGCCCTCCCGATTGGGTCTCTGCCCTGGGGGCCGACTCTGACAGGCAAGGCGGCGTGCGATCCCGGGCGCCATGTTACTTTGCCCAGCGCGTGCGGTCGAGGGCTTCGCGGCTCGATGTCCTCCTCAGGAGAGGTTGTGCCGTGCTGCGGGTATCAGACCAGGCTTCCACGGTGATCGACAGAGGGTCGATACTGTCAACCTCTGAGAATATAGAGGCGTTGTCAAGGAATGCTCCCAGGAGGCGCCAGACCCTGGAGCATTCCTTCTCCAATGAGGGTGGCGGTGCTCCCCGTGGCCGATCCGCGATGGGTGCTCCACCAGCTTCCAGACCCTGGGTTCCCGATCCATGGCCTCCTTATCCCATGCCCCCCCCACGCATATCTATATGTATGCATATGTATATATGCATGTATGCATGCATGCATGCATGCATGCATGTCTGTATGTATGTTTGTGTGCATGTATGTATGCATGTTTGTATGTATGTGT